TACAGTGCTTGTGGATCAACAAAAGTAATAAGGGTTAAATGATTATAACTTCAGTAGGCTGCCTCTGTGATTGTCCCCATTAAAAAAAAAACGACAAGGGAGTCAACCATCAGCGCTGTTTTGGGTGGCATTAGACACATTATCAATATGATCAATCAAGCTCCTTAAAACATGCCCCCTTGTCCCTTTAGACTGCCCCTGTTCACATGTGAGTACAAAGAGGCAGCCCCTTAAATGTAGCATGTTTAAAATATATCACAGGGAGGAGGGAAGCCCTTGATTGATTATTCTCTGAACCACCCGGTATCACTGTACTATACATTTTGTTGTGATACTGGGCTGCTTGGAAGGTTCCTCTGCCACCTCCTTCAGCTTGTCAGTTGTCTCTCAGCAGGAAATGTGTCAATTCATCACATTTTACAATAAACCTAATGTCATAACTTTCACATGCATCCAGGTATTTTATTTTTATATGCACTCATGCTTCATTTAAAATGACATTTCTTGGTGCTATGAGGGGATTGTGGACTAAAAAAGAGGTGAATTGTTTCACAATTGTGTTACTTTGTCTTGTACGGAGCGTAAAACAAACACAGAGGGATGTGTTTGGAGCCAAGATTTGTCTGTCATGCCTTGTTTAAATAAGATGATTTTGATTCAAATTTAGTTGGCTAGTCGCCCGGGCCACAGAATCACATCTGTTAATTTCTTCTAATAAAACCTGGTTGCACAAACTGCAGCAACTTAATTATTAAAGTGTGAACTCAGATACATTTGTTACACTCTGTAACCAAATGGTATTTAGTTACCCAGGCATATACAAAGGCTATGTGTAATGCTTTAGTTTTAATTGATTGGAGGAATCTGATGATCTGATATCTGTGAGTTGTACTCCCAAAGTAAAATGTATGAAACATGAAACTGAGTGGAGAAGATTAATAAATCCCCGGTCTTTTCTCTGACAGTACAGAGTCTTATGCAAAAGGTGTTTGTGAAGATGGCGAGAAACACAAATATGAATTCAATGAATCCTATTGAGTGTCTGGGAAATAAGGATGTAAGTAACACGTATAAAGAAACAGATGTGTACTCATGAGTAATATGTTGGAGGAGAGTACAAGCTTGATGATGCAGAAGTTGAGATGTGACCTTTCACCTGCCAGCGTGGGAGACCCAGCCGCTGGTACCCTGCCATCTCCTCAAAAGGCTCCAACTGACCTCTTGCAATAAGAAAAACTTGGTTGCTATGGTATCGAGAGGAATTTTAATGATATGCTTGGGGGAGTTGCTATGTAGAAGCTTTACAGAGACCAGTTTAATGCTGCCAAAGACACACCATATCTCCATGTATACAATGGCAATAGGTTATTTGAACTGCCAAAAGTGATTAGAACAATGCTTTGTTTTAAGTGGGGCCCAGGTGGTGGTGCATGTTCCTTTCCATTTTGTATGGGTATTGCACAGAATACTTTAGCCATGCATAAGTTGATTATGCCAAATTAACCATTTGTTATTTTTTTTAACACTGGTTTTATTGAAGAACATTATACACATTTCATAAAACAAAAAGGAATTTGAAGCCCTCTGAACAAATGTGAACAGCATCCAAATTTCTACAGTAATTGTTTTTCCCCTTGAAAACAGTTTGCCAAGAACATTACATTATCAGTTTTTCTCAGACTCAGAGTCAAATCAGCACACACAGACATTACACCCACTGCTAGAATAAGCCGAACACACTCTTAACGATTGTGGAAGATCTCTGATGTCCAGTGAGGATAAACATCCATAAATATAAGTGTTCTGTATAACTTCAGATCTGGGCACAGATAGTAGCTTTACACCCTTTTTTGACAACACGAGGCAGTGCTGAATCTCTTTAAAACCAAGCCAACGTATTTTTCTTTTCTGGTTATTTGCCTGAAAAGAAGACACTAGCAACAACCATTCAAAATTATGGAGATGCACACTGTATCTTTACGATGTTGTTTCAACCTCCTTATTTGAAATTTCTAAGGATTTTGATCTTTTTGAAGTTTAAATTTTAAACAAAAATTTCCTAACTGATCAAATAAACCTACAGGGTATGTGTGTTGTGTTCAAATCGAACAAATAAAACATTTTTGTACTTTCATAGAGACTCAGTTTTTTTTATCTTACTTTAAAATGCTTATCAAAACTCCTCATCTGCCAGTGTGGTGCTTCCATATCAACAGTGTGTGGAGCGCTGGAGTGTATCGAAGGAGGTCGTTCGTCACTGATTCTGTGGTTATTTTTAACCGTCTCCCATGGGCAGGTCTAATCAGAACAGGATGTTCCTCATCAAATTAACCAGGAAATATATTTTCATGAAATGAGACTGGGTCTGTACATATATCCTACCATGATATAGCAGTCTAAGGTCAATTACACAGCAGGGTTACTGGGGCTAAATGCAGATCAGGGTTTCGCAATTTCTCCTCTAATAGCTTAGATTCTGATGAGGTCAAGCTTATTAGTTACTTCATAATAGGGCAATAAGCCACAGATAAAGTAATATTTGAAATTAATGACAAGTCTACCCTCAGTTTTTTTCTCCTTGTTATTAAAACCAAAGAAAATTGTACAATTTGCATCTCCAGCCTTTTGTAATCCCCCAAGTAAATGTTGTGAAAGGAGAAAGGCCAAGTTTGAACTGTATAGTGTATCAGAAACATTTATTTTATATCACGTTTATGTCAAGACTAGTTTTAAATGTTTTTACATAGACAGGTCATAAAATAATAACTTCATGGTATATCAGATTTCAGGTAAAACATGAATTTGTTAATCCAGTAATATATGTTAGACAACAGAACAGTTTTGCCATTTTACATAAAACATGCATTAAAAAAACGCTGCAAACTTGCATGTTATGCTTATTGTATTACCATAATAACCACATTTTAGTATCGATGACATTTGCAGTAATACATTTTAGCGAACTACTCTCCTCTTAAAATATGTAAAGTGTGGTATCATCTCCACCATGCCACATCAATTTTACTTACTATATTCTGTAACTACTAGTGTAATTACTTCCTATATTCTACAACTAGAATAGAATCTAATCACATTTCGCAGAGATCCACCCTGCTGCTGTGTAAGCAGGATTTTCCTCTTGCAGTACTGTAAGATCAGTAACATTTCCATGCTTGTGAAGTGAACAGGTAAAAAAGAAATGACACACCATTTATGTTGTCATCAACCTAAATAGCAATCTCTCCCTGTTCAAAATAATTTTGCCACAAGTGAGATTGAGAAGGTCCCTCCAGCTGTAATGAGCTTCATCAGACCTGATTTACATTTCAGACAGTTACACATTGCATAATATCACTAAACACTGAGGGTTTTCTTGGGTCGATAAAACACTGAGGACCCCAAATGCCTAACTGGATCAGCGCTCTTCAAAACACTTCAGGCCCATATTTCTCCATATATTCAACAGCTGAAATGTGAGATGCCTTGTGATAGTTCCATTCAAGATACTCCACAGTGAGTGAAACCTCCTAAGCATTGTTTCATGTACCGTGCTGCCACTAAGCAGCAAATGGAATTGGAGATCTGTGTGCATGACACCACATTACATCCTTCAGAGGAAAAGGAGATGGAACGAAATGAAATGAGATCCAGCCGGCACCTCCACACAAACCCCACTATAGTGTGTCTGTCTCTCTGTCACACAGGGAGAGACAGAAAGAGAGAGTCTGAGTATGTTTCCCATCTGTGTGACACTTGGCGTTCCGGGTTATTGGCTGGTTTGTGCCGCCGTGCTTCTTCTCTAGCACCAGCTCGGCATGTCAGGCACGAGAGAGCTGGAGTTCTGCTTGTGTGCCCCTTTTATTTATTCATCTTTTATCTGAATCCCTTTCCCCCTTCTCTCTTTCTACTTATTATATCTCACTCTTTCAGATTCTCTCCACTATCTACTGCAGTTTATTGCTGACTATCCTCTCACCTCTCCATCTTTGCATCTTTCCTCTCACTGTCTTCTTCCTGTTTCCTCTCTTCCCCCTCCCTCTACCCGTCCTCCTGTCTCTCTATCTTCCTCTCTCCTGGGTTGACAGTGTGGAAAGTTGACGAATCAGACTGCATGTGACAGCCCGGCATGTGAGCGAATCCGATGTGGTTAATATGGTGCCTGCTGACAGCGCTGTGGAAATTGTTCACAGTGGAGGAGCACTGAGACACGGCTACACTTTGGCCCAGCTACCCTCAATCACCCTGCTGCTAGTGTGTGTGCGTAGGGGGGAACATGTGTTTACTTGTGCGTGTGTGTGCATGTGCATATTTGTGTGTGTATAAACAGTTCTTCTTGGGGGTCAAAGGTTAGCAGAATAAGCCGCCTTCCATTTTCTCTGCCTACGCGTATCATCCCGCTGTTCCTTCAAGAGTTCACATCACCATGAGAGTGAAAGCAGAGGATCTTTACCGGATGAAATAAAGTGATACTCACATCCACCTCTCATAATGGACTAACAGGAAACAAAGTAGGTACTCATAAAACTCATGTAACATGATGGCTTACTGTGGATAAGATCATATATAAAGAGGTGGGTAACTCTGGGTGTGCGTGTCTCAGCAAATAATGTGCACAACTTGGCCTACCTCCCTCTTTCTGTCTGAAGCTCATCTCTGCACCTGTAACTGAGATACAGTGAGTTCCAGTAAAACCCTGTGATACCTTAAATTGAGCATTGCATTGATGTTTTGACACTTTTCATGCTTCAGGTATACTTTCTATCATTTGTCAGAATTTATTGTTTTTGTTTGATTGATAAATTTGACTTCCATAAAATATCATCTTATTAAATTATATGAATAACAAATAAATAATAATAATAAATAAATAAATTATTCTGTGTTGTTTTTCCCTAAAGACCCTTTGAACCATGTAATTTAAATTAAATAAACACACAAGTAACAGTTCTACATAATGAATAGGTATATTCTTAAATCATTTATAAACTTTAAAGCAAAAGTTATTGAGATAATCGTTTTTTTATATGTTTTTGGGGGCATTTTTATGCCTTTATTATAGGTTTGACAGAAGACAAATTACAGGAAATAAGGAGGGAGAAGGATGATGAATGACATGCAACAAAGGTCCACAGCTGCTTTGAGACAATAATACATAATAAAATAATTTCTTGTTATATTATTCAGCTATGTAACTTTATCTAAAAAATTATTATCTATTATGCCCAACTCCAATTCACTGTACCTGTAGTGCATTTGGTGATTATTGTTGTGGGTGTTTTGTATCGGTATAAATCTGTGTCCTGTATTTTTGGTATATATTTGTTCATGCATGAGCATCTCTTTGAATTCTCACATGTACACACATATTTCTGCATGTCAGTCTTCGTGTGCATGTGGTTGCTGTGTGCTCTCAAACTGTGATTTTCTCTGTGCGTGTGTAAAAAACATATGGTGAGTCAGTGTGTAGGAGTTGAGTGCCAGTGTGTCTGTGGGAGGAGGGAGAGTGGTTAGGTGGTGATAGAGAAGGGAGAGGATTCAGGTTGTGCACCAATAGGTGGCACTCTACCCTTTTGTGATTGGCTACGGTGACCCAGACTAAGACAGGTTTGGAAGCACATGTGTTTGCATTGGAATGGAACAAGAAGTTGGATGATAAAACTTCCTTTTTTTCAGTCCTCTGGTTATTTCTGCCTGCCGGCTGCTCTTATAGTGTAGAGGAAAGAAAGCAGAGTGATAGGAGAGTGTGCTTGGGGTTGGGGGCAGAGGTTTCCCCATTTTGGGTACATGAATGGAGAGTTAACGCTGCTGGGGTTAAAGGGTCACTTTACTTTAGGGCTAAATGCATGACTTTATTGTAGTTTTTTAGGCAAAAGGTTTGTGAGTTGGCAGGTTTCTTTGCATGGACAGCTTTTCATCTACACCAGGGTGCACTGCATGTGCATGTGTAGCTGTTTATATATAGCTGCGTAAACAGGGTTGTTTGTTTGTATGTGTTTGCAGTGCAAAGTGCCACTGAATGTCAACCAATTCTCAGTGTCATATGCTGTAGTTCACTGTAGTGTCACCCATTTACAGAGTAAAACATATCGAGAGAGAATTATATAAATCAAACATAAACACAACCCTTCTATATTCCCTGAAGACATTTCATATCACATCATTTCTTTAATCATTGGGAGTGGTAAAGGATTCACATTTAGTGTACAGTAGCATTCATGTGTGAAATTAGAATTATTGTCTTTATACTGTGTGGTTTAAAGTAACAAATGAAATTGATTATATTAAACCATTGTGATCTTCTGCATGGTGACAGACTCTAATAACTATCCAAAAATGTAAATTCAGGCATCTGTTTAGATGAAAAAGGTTCCTTACATGTCATATAATGTAAATTATGGCAGTAATAAGAACATTTCCTGCTAAGAAGGGCTACAAATTGCACCTTATAACAAATATTGTATTTTTATAATCCCACAATGAGCAGAGCCTCAAAGACTACTTTAGAATACTTGTCTCACTGCAAAGTGGTAGTTATATACAACTGGTAGAGAGGAATATGTAATGTGCATACATATATACATATATATGCACATACAAACTGGCTTTATTGAACATAGCAATATACAATTCTGTGGGAAAAGTGGCTAGGGCTTCATTTATTAACAGGGGACAAAATACTTGAATAAATAAAAACAGGCCATCCTCATGACAATACAAACTATAATGGAGAGCAATGTGTACAAGGAGCAAATGTGGAGGAACTAAACTGTTCAAATACAAAAGTGACAAAAGTCTGTCATTCAAACCAGTACAAATGGTTAATGCAGTGCAGCTGAGCATCAAGCAGGGTCATACAGTTGGAATACAAATAGCAACCTACAGAAATACTTAATCATATTCACAAAATATACACAGAGTAAGTAACAATGTAGAGCATTCATTGTCTTCTAAATTGTGCCCACAATTTCTAGGCAAATGAAAAAAAAAAGGATTAACACTGGCTAAATGAAAGAATCAATAAAGCCCATGCCTGTGGAATGAAACAAAATGACAAAAGGGCAGTTTATGGCCGCAGTCACCATAGCAATAGAATTATATATTCTATGGAGTTCACAACCTTCTACATTCAACAACCCTAACAAGCACATAAAGGGTCGGAGGTCATGCAAGTGCCGTTCTCGCGGAGGTGCGATGGAGCAGAGCAGCTAGGCTGGGGTCAGAGGGCAGATCAATTGGGTCACTGATAAAAGCAGATGAGCATATCAGTCATATAAAAAAAAGCACACACGCTCGCACACACACTTCCATACACACCCTCTCACTGCAGCTTATTTCTGTCTGACTATATGACTTAAGTTTATTCTGCAGAAACGCACTCAGTCACCACTGGAGGTGGGAGGTCGCTGGTGTTCTGAGGCTCCATTGGGGTTGAGCCAGCAGTTCTGTAGCAGTCTGAGTTCACTGGCAGTCAGGTTTTCCCACAATAGAGCCTGACGTACAGGGCAATAAGGGCTGAAATGCCCTGTCTCATCAGCCTCTGCCTCAAAAACAGAGCGGAGGAGGGTGAATGAAGTAGAAATAGAGGGTGGATACAAAGACAGTTCATACAGTCTGACACCACTGTTCTTTTAGTCCTCTGGTGTACAAGTGAAAGAAACATGCAACAACAGGCAAATGAAGAAATTCTTTTGCACTCCATAATTGACAACAGTAGGCCACAGTTACACATAATTTCAATGTCAACTGTCCAGAGATTTAAAGTACACTCATGAGTCCTGTCACAGACCTGCAATTAAAGTTTTATTTTTTTAATAGCCTAAGTCTAACCATACCTTAGTCGTATAGTTGCCATGCACAAATATTGTAGAAAGCAACAATTTAAAATCCTTGGCACTGGATGTAATCCGATTTTTTGCAGAATTGTCCAATATTGATGTTCTTGCCTGGCAATAGAGTTGCTTGTTTGCAAGTTCACAAAAGCTTTACAACTTCAGAATATGGTTTTAAGCAAACCATAGTCCATATTGCATTTTTCTATTGCATTGCATATTTTTGTTATTGAAAAACTATGTTTATGATGTAAAGTTTTAATCATGCATTACTTATTTATTACGTCAGCCTTATTGAACTGAGCTCTACCATGCTGGTCTGTTCACAAATGCTCATAAGAAATACACATAATTACAACAAATGCAGAGCTTCCTTTAAGAAAAACATCATAAAACAATATTTAAGAACTAGGAAATCATGTTAATTATTGTTATATAACTTTCATAGATGATTAAGAACAAAGGGTTATTACCAACAGTTGTAAATCCTTTTTCATAATGTTTGTGTGAGAAAAATCAAATATCAACTGAACAGCCAGAGGAAGTGTACAGTTTTCACGACTACTATAATCTTTTGGTGCAGTGTGCAGGTTTTTCTATTTCAGAAGGTCCCTGTGTTAATAGGAGACTCCTTTAATGAGAACATTCTTGTGGATGATGGATGTCATGAGGAAGAAAACACACATCAGTTTATATATAGACACCACATGGCTTTAACATGTTACCCACTTAATTGGAAACGGTGTATAATCATATGCAAATCCACACAAGTGGATTAATTATGAATATGTTTTGGCATTTTGTATAAATGATGATGATAGGTTTTTGATTCTGTTTTTCACTGTTTTTTAATGAAAACCAAAAGCCATAATTGTCATCTCAAGAAATAATTGGCAACCAATGTAGGAGTCTTTTAACTTCAATTAAAATTACTACAATTAATGGAAACAATGAAAAAGAAAATGAAAACAATGTTAGTGTCTAAAGACTTAAATCTTCATAGGGGAAAGATAGGGAGTTGCCAGTATACATAAACACCTTACTATATCAGATACTAATGAGTATATGTGCTGTAATGTGTTGATTGCATGTTTTCCTGCTTTTTTAATGCATGTCTGGCATAAGACACTGCCACATTATCAATCCATTATGTTTACATTCATAGTGCACGGACATGTGTTGCATGTCCTGGATTTGCAGCTCAGACTAATTCCTCTGGCTTACACTAAATATCTGGCTAACTTTGTTTTCCTAACAATTTTGCAGTGTCCTCTGTTTCTGTAAATTTTCCCAAGAAATGGTATACCAGATGGATCACAGCTTTTGGGCTTTTAGTGTTTGTATTTTTTTTATATTTGTACGTGCACGTCTCTCCATCTGCATGTGCATGTGACAACGAATATCCACCCAGGCCAACGTATCTGTGGAACACACCATAAAAACCCCTTGAAGATCTTGCTTCACGTCCTCTGTACTCCATCAGCGGAGGGAAATTAAGCCAATGAACCACAAAATGTTGTTGCAAATGAGTGTTGTGCAGGGAAAAAAAAAGAAGAGTAGAAAAAAGAGCTGGGAGTGAGAGAGTTCCTGCAAGTCAGTCAGTCACACTGGATCCAGTCAGGACAACGGGCACACTCATTTCCTCAAGTGTGTTCTAAGTATCGGTGTAGGGAATGTATCATTTCAAACACACATGCAAGAAGATGTGTGGTAATACATGCATGCTACACGCATACAGAAATAATACAACAAAGTAGTGGCTCTGCCTCTGGCGCTGCAGCCTAGCTAGCTTAGCTGTTATGTCCAGCCCCATCCAACTTGGGCAGGGAATACAGGACAGACACTTTTTTTTTTTTAATATATATGTTGAGGAAGAGAAATAAACAAATTAAAGAGACAGAGAGAGATATAATACCTGTTTGAAATGGTTCCAGAGCCTGGGGCCCACAGGCTGTGAGCTCCCAGGTCAAGTTGGCAATATAAGCTGGTTCATCTGCTCTCAACACACCCACTTTCCAAGGGAGTACTTAAAAAGAAATACAATGCACTGAGGTGGCATAAAAGAGTGCTTGGCAAACGTTTGTCATCTGTTTATTGTGTGTATATATCTGCGTGTGTGTCCGTGCAGGTGTATGCAAGTGTGTGATTTCCCGGAAGACGAAGACTCTTGGCTTAGACGGTATCCCTATAAAAAAAGAAAGAAGAGAAATAAAGGTATAATTAGTGAAAAAGTGGCAGCTATGTGCACTGTCTGTGTGTTAAGGAGAGATGAGGAGAGAAAGAGCACCCTGGTATAGCTTCCTAGAGTAAATAACGGTTTTCTCTTTGAATTATAAATATGATATTTTATCACATTCAAACATACAGATATATGCATACAGACACCTACTCACACACCTACTCCATTTCACATCCGTCCACATCTGCCTGCCGACAAGCACAAACGCACATTGGTATGATGTAACAGCATGCTCCAGTTCAGTCTTGCTGTGAAGGTTGGCATCCATTCCAGGCTGAATTTAAAATTTGAATTTATTCAGTCCCTCGCTGCCAAAGTTGTTCCAAAGACCTTGTGAAACTCGTCTGGGAACCTCTGCCAGGTAGTTCACACCTCCACCTCCTCCGCCTGATGTGTTAAAGCAGGAGACACTTTTGACAGCACTGAGAGGCATTTTCAGCCAGAGAACTTACATGGCTGCTGGCAAAAAAATGCCAGCTTTCTGTGCGTTTTTGGTTGGTAGATAGTTTAAAATGTATGTCTGTATTCACTAACTGGATATTAAGCATTTAACACATCTGTCTATACACATGTATGTTTGTGACTGGATGTGATAGAGTGGTATGTCTGTGTGTCTGTGTCCATGTGCATTGTAACAAACCGGAGGCTAATTCATAGCATTTGAAGGATGGCTACAAATTTCTCAAAAACCAGCTAGTGCAAACAAAAACAACACATGAGGAAAGAGGTTCATTCTAAATTGACAAAAGAGTGCAATCCAAAACAACAACAACAACAACAACAACAACAACAACAACAACAAAAATGAAAGGTTTTATACATTCTAACTATATTTCCAAATAGGGTTTAAATCAGCGAACCAAAGCTATTTTTCAGTTTGATTCTGCTACACATAAGCAACTATAATAACTTCCCAGGTCTCTTACTAGATCTATTTCACCTGTGAGGCTTAACTGATGACTTAGTATGAAACAGAATATATTGTTGATATATTTGCCAACAATTTTATTTATCTTATGTATTGATTTTAAAAACGGGTAACTGGAACATTATAACAAGAACACCTGCAAGCCAATGAGACACAAAGGATTCCTGTGACCTTTGTATAAGGTTGTACAGTTTTTATCCTCCGTTATTTAAGAAAAACGCCTCACTTGCACGTGATAACTCACAGTTGTATCCATTGTGACTTAAAATTAGCGAGCAGTGTTCAGTGTCTTGCTCTAGGGCATCATATCAGGTCATGAAACCGTTGACAGACTCATACTGGCTCTTGCAGAACTTGTGACGTTTTGGTGATTAGACCATTTCTCTTTAGACAAGGCTGTCCCGCTACATGCTACATTCATATTTGCTAGTAAAGTAGTAAAGTAAACAGATGGAAGAAGACTAGTGGTGGGGATAAAAAAGCCCAAACTGTGTACATGCAATCAATTAATTTCTGCTGTCAAAATGATCAAAGATAATAGGACATAATTACTTTAATTAATATTAAGGTTCCTTGGGGGCACCACCTCTCAAGAAGGGAAAATGAATGAATGAATGAATCAATCAATAATTGATTGATGGTTGGAGCCGCTGTAAATCATCTGGCTTCCGATGGTGTCAGAGGCTGTGCTAGAAGTCACATACTGACGAACTGAATACTACATACTCAGTCAGTATGTGCTGCATACTGCTTTCGTACATCCTCCCTCGTCTCTGTATCACAAGAGTGTACGATCACAACATTACTTCTTACACTGAATGTAATATTTTCCAGTATTACAAATTAATGTAAACATGGGGGAGAGAGGGGCACTAAAAAAACTATGGTTTGTTGTTCATGTTTGAGTATTGAGAAGCAGAAGAGGAGGCTGCTGAGTTGCGGAGACAAATGCACGCCAGGAGGACGAGGAAGAGGAGGAGGATGGTGCTATCTTAGCGTTTGTCTCTGGCTATGTGAGTTATCTTATAAAGTTTACCTAAAGCAGTGCTTAACTAAATAGATTAAATACAGAACAGTAGATATAAATCTTGCTGAAGTCGTCTGCTGCGTTAGCTGCAGTGGTCTGTGTGACTGTGGAGCAAGAGGGGTCTGTGAGCAAAATGTTAACCTTTACTAACCAGATTGCACTGAAACAAGCCGTATTCCTCCAGTCATATAAAAAATGACATAAAGAAGCTTCTGTCTGACCCCTGATCACTTTAGCCACTCTATGATCTGTACGGATAACAGTGATTTATGGGTAAGGGAGTTGCATGAGCCTGATGATGAGCAAAAACAGTTTCAAGTGCATAACCAAAGTCCTCTGGACTGAGATTCCTCAGTGGGTGATTCCTCTGGACTTTCCCAGATTTGCATATTGCCTGGTAAATCCAAGATATATTGCAATCAGATTTGAGACGGAGATGCATATGAGTGAATATGTGTAAACGAGAGTGAAGACTGCAGTGATGTACATGTGCCTGAGCTGTCAGTCACATAAACTGTTAGACTAAACAGGGCCAATGTAGACATCAGCTCTGGTGAAATTGAAAGCAGCCCTGCTCAGTGGTATGTCCCATAGTTGAATCACAATCCACCGTACAATGCCTCACACTTACACCATTAACACTTTACATTTTATTGCTATTTTTATGCAGCACTACCCACACTAGTGACCCCTTGATACTGAGTTAGATCCACCGTAATACAAATATCACATCCATTAAATGAAAGCGAGTAGTCGTTTTCACTCCAGAGAGATAAATATACAGCTCCAGTGGCCCTAACTGAAAGCCCATAGCGGCCCATGATACAGACCCCTTTTTCTCTCTGTAGCTTTGCTTTCATCATAGAAGGTCGTCCTGTAAAGTTGAGCTGGACCAGAAGAAAACTCTGTTTGTGTGTGTGTGTGTCTACTTCTGTGAGGATACAGGCGAACAAGTGTATAAATGTGCTATGGCAGCAGTGCCTACCGACTGGAGGCTATTTTAATGAATAGCACCATTCAGGGCGAGACATGAAGGAAACAAATTTGCTGAAAACACTTCCTTCCATGAAGGGCCCCAGCTGGTTGGCTGACTGGTCGCTGACTGGCTGGCTGGGAGGCTGACTAGTGTATGTGTGTTAGAGTGGGTACAGCAGGTGATAAGCCCTGCTCCTCTTTATTGCCCATCAGAGTGCCAGGCTTGAAAAACAACTTCCCCATTGTTGCTCATAAATCAAAACCACTAAATGCTGTTTCCAACTCAATTCCTATTTTTGACTGCAGGGCCGTAGCCATAACTTTGGTGTAATGATCATTCAATTACAGGCCACTCAGACAGGGAACAAAGAAGACTGATATAAACAGCGATCCACTATCTATCATATTTCTCTCTGCGGTCTCGTGGGAATTGCTACATCTGCCTTTGTCACCTAGTTTATGTGTGCCTGCATGAATGCATTCCTCACACATCTACCTGTGTTTACATGGACGTCTGTGTGCACACTGAAGCGTAAATGTGAACATTCACAAATCCTTATAGGGAGATAAATTGTTACCACACAATAAAACTGCTCTTTGTCCCTGACTTTCTCTTCACATACATGCTCTTTCCCTCTATCCCTCACACTCAATTGCTTTCTCTATTTCTCGCTTTATTTCAGTGTCACTCTGTCCCTCTCGCCGCTACCCGCTCCCTGTCTCTGTACTCCCCCTCCCCCATCTCTCTCTCTCCCATGGAGATCTGCCTGTGCTCTGCTTCCTCTTTGATAAGACAGGAAAGCCCAACAAGCTAAGCAGAGTGGTCCCTCTACCGCACCTACTCAGCATTAGTCATCTAGCCATTTTAAGCGAAGATTAATAAAAAAAAAATTTAAAATGAGTTCATTCCTTTTGTGTGACTTAACGTCTAGGAGATAACTTTTATTATGATGGTCACATCCTGTGACCTCTTCCCAGGTCTCTTCCTGTTACCGTAACCCAAGATCCCCTGATGACGCGGAGACCAGTTATAACAAAACAGCCAGTTGTACTTTGGTCGCTCTCTTTGCTCTTTTCTCTTCTCCCTCACCGGGTCATGGCTCTCTGAGATCTGCAAACACGCCGATGGCCAATCAAGAAAGGAAACATGCTAACGGAAGCACAAATCGAGCTAATGCTGAGCTGTTAACTCTGCACACAGGACAATAGGAGCGAAACAGCTTCTTCCGATGTGCACAAGTGGACACTGCACAGCAAATATGTTTTTCATATCGGAAACACACATTTTCCCAGCCTAGTTCACAGGATCGCCAGCTAGCGACTCACCAAACCAATAACTCCTCCCCAATCCTTTCACAGTCTGATTCGGTAACATACTGGGTATAAATAGCTCTGCATAGCTTAACAGTGTTCATGGGTAAGTATTGGACTGCTTCACTTCTCTGAATATACACGTACTGATGCGTATTTTGTTGAAGTTTTATTGTTATTGTTCATCTTTATCATGGATAATGTTAGGTTACTGTGCAACCGTAGGTCTCAGCCACTCCAGAAGTTTAACTTGGTACTGTTAATTTAAGATCACACATACATGTACTCCAATTTGGCCTTAAACAACCACACATGTGAAAAGGAAACTCAAGTCTTCCGCTTCACATGTTTCTGTGTCTCTGATGTAACACGTTTCATGCTCGTGCACTCCGAGCATTGAGTGTCTATATCAAAGACAGACACATTCCTTCAGGCGTGCACTCAGACATGCGTACCTTCACACACACACATACACACACATGCTTCCTCTCTCACATACACGCAAACACACACCTTTGTAGTATAGTTAGTGTTTAGTTTTTGCATTTTTTAATAAATACTAGTGTACATAGCTGGCCTGTTTAATGTTGCACAAAAGTGGGTGATGCCAACCTATGTGAGTTAAAATTAACTCAACTGTAAATTCAACATCTGCAGCAACCGTGATTGGTGACAGAGCAGTGAGAATTACGTAACCACAATAAATCACAGTGACAACCTGCGGTTGTACTGGTTCTTTGCACTGGCTGGTCACTTACAAGTTCTAACACCACTGGGATTTTCAGTTATCAGCCCTGGGGCACTGTGTTGTATCACCTCCTCTCATCCTCTCCTTTCCTTTCATCACTACCCCCACTCAATGCTTATACTTGCTCCGTCATAGTGTTGAATGTATGCACAGACATTACATTGTTTTGAACATATTAATTTATACACAAACACACATGCAAACTGTTTTATGTTATTTCCCCATTTCTAATTGTTGATTCCCAGGGCCTTGAGACCACCAATGCTTTCTCACTTACAGTCCCTATCAATTAATAGAAACGGTTAAGAGAGTGTCACTAAGAGGGTTAGTCACACAGAGCTATCCAATGCCTGCCAACACTGTCATGTCATCTGACTTGTCTCAGTTCAGGCCGCAGGGCTTTTCCCTTTTTAGAGAAAGAGCAAGGCAGGGAATGAAAGGAGCTGATCCCACACAGTTGAAAAGCCTGGGAGTCACGAAGCACATCGATAATGTGCACATAAATGCACAACCAGGCATATGCATCTGTTTAGAGCATATGGTTGGAAAAATCAAACGCAAAAACTTGCACGTACACATGCATCATAAACTGAGGTTTCTCCTTCAACCAGCAAAACCCTCAGCAACTCTCAGTTCATTCTGTCAAGTGTCAAGCCCTACAGGATCTGTAGAGGTGATATATGAGAGCAACATACGTCTCTTGATGTCATCAAAACATTGCAGTGTGATTTCATCTGCTGACAGACTTATTGCTTTGGCAATAACAATGCCATGAAGACTGCTGTTGTTCATATCTACTAGTAATAACCGCTGTGAGTCACATATATGTCTCAGTTTATCATGTACGTTTGAAAGACACCACTTGTGAAATTGACATTATGTGCCTCTGATCCTTCCCAATTCACCTTGACAACCACGCTAGTGTCCTGTTTGTTTGCTGTTTCAAGTAATGCTCTTTGTATTTTATGCCATTTTGATTAACATCATACACCAGATCACAGATATTATAAACAAAAATGTTTATACTTTTGAAGAACTAAAACTCAAACATTCAGATTTAAATTACGTGTTGTCGACTGAGAATACAGAACCACTACAGTTTTTAGTTGTAAGCTTATTAGCATATGATATGAAATGTTAATAAAAATATGTAACGTGAGGAGTCCGTATCACAGTGGCCCGAGCATGTCACCCCCCTCCCCCCAAAACTAGAAGTGGAAATCATGAATCACCTTGCTGATTCCAATCAAAGTTCAGTTCAAAGGTTAGTGACTTTGTACTTCATTCACTTTTTTTCCCCTAAGCAAAGTGGTCACATCACCATTCAAATGCACTACATATGCCAGTAAATGAACGCATCATCGTTCAGGCACGCCAGTACATACAGGAGGTGATTGCTCAAAGGCACAGTATATACAACGGTAAGCAAACACATCACTGGTCCTATGGCCCAACATTCAGTGCTGATTCTGACTGTTCAGTAGAGTGTTTGGTACGCTGCAAGTCAAAGTTGTCATGTTCAGTTCAGTGTATGTCAGCAGCCAATTATTTATGATGACATCAGATTATGACTGTGGCTTTCACTGTCTTTTAATAAGCTTTTAACAATCACGGATAAGCTGACAATGGTGCTCTCAGTCATACATGTGGGGAGCCCCACTGCTAAAAGCTGCTGTTTGGGTCAGTGACAATGGTGATTCAGTATAGTCAGTTTTCTTTTAAAATGTGTTGATATAGATTTGACTGAACACATCTACATTTAGCTCAAAGAACTGATGTGTCTGAGTACAGCCTTATAGGCAGCTAGCATGTATTCTAGTATAAACTATGTCTTGTAAATGTCCAAAAACACGGAGGACATGGAGTGTGCATTTTCTTGCCATCATTTAGACTATAGTTCACTGTGTATAGAAAACACATACACCTACAGGCTATGAGTACTACAGCTCATTGGCACGGTACAGTGCTAGACACATTCAATGACAAATACAGAGCCTGCCAGTGTTGCTTGGTGGTCCTGTATTACAATTATAGCTCAACTACTGTATCAAGCATGTGGCCACTCTTTAACTGTGCTGACACATTTGGAAAACCATATGGTAAATAATTAGAGCTGAAAATGTAAAAAACTTGTGTGGCTGCTGAATAATATATGGGTTCTCAGGCAAACAAACACACATATGAACTAAAATCCAAAGCCTATTATGGAGACAGCTGCACAGACAACTGTACATTCCCATACTATCCCAAATCCCTCCCACATACACACATACTCAAATAAACATACACAGATAAACAAAGCAAAGTATAACTGCACCATACAACCTGTCAAATGTACATTTCATCAACCTTCTTCTGAGTATTGGGGTAGTTCTGCACAATGCACCATGTGTTGAAAATGTGCTTTTAAATATGGACAATTGTGCTCAGAATTTACACATACATTATAGACTCGATGTGTAATCTAACATACAGCATGTGAGGTGTTTTTTTTTGTTGCTCAAAAGTACTCGTGAACAAACTGCAATATCATATATACACTAATTAGCTACTGCATGCCTCCATGAGCACTTAATTATCATCATAATAAATGATGGACAACTCCAACAACTTTGATGAAATCAGGCCGCTCGTCAACATCAGCACCAACTTTGTGAGCTGACGAAGGAAACTATGTCAGCAAATTTTGGAAACTTTCACTTATTCATCATTATTATTATTATTAATTTAAGCAGCCCATTAAAATCTCTTTTTGTAAACATTTAAAGTGAAAAAATAGGCCATGCAGTGGCCCGTTTTGATTCATTTTTAAACTACCACAGTTACTTTTGCAAAAACATTTTGTTCACAAGATTAAGGACGTGAAAAGTCTGTGCCAGTTTTACTCAATACAAGCAAAGTACAGAACTTGTGAATATGTTTTGCAGTTAGCCCGGTTGAGGTTGTGCAAGAGTTAACCAAACTAATTATATTCATTAAGGAGGTGCGATAATTATTTGTAACTACCATGCCTTCTGCTCACCTGGACATCTCCATTGTGTCCTTGGTGAGATAGACGATCCAGTAGACCAGGTTGAAGGCTCCGAATGAAAGGGGGAAGAGGATGCGGGAGTATTTGTCGATGATGCTGGTGCCAGTCAGAACATTGTTGGCCGGTACAGCTGAACCCTGCTGCAGGAAGGCTTGGGCATTGACAGGTGGGTTGGGAAATGTTTTTGCAGGGCGGTCAAACAGTGGGGCCGAGTTCATCCTCTTCTTCAGCATACTACTTGCATCCACCTTAGAAATACACAGAGGAAACATATAAAATCTGTAAGAGGAAATCAGCATTAAAGAGAAAATTGCCTGATGTAATATGAGGGTATTAATAATTAAACCAGTGCTGTGCTGTTGTACCCACAGCGTCATAAAACATCATATTGTATGTGCCAAGAATGTTAATACTGTAGTAGAAACTGAGTCTGTATGTAAAAGGACATGCTATAATGTCAAATGTATATTGACATCATTGACACATTACACACAATCAAGCTAAACTAAAAAAAACCTCCTCACTTTTAAAACAGAATATTCAGCTGGGAACCTATAAAATTCTGTCTAACTGGTGGGCTTTTTCCACTATACACTATTAGTACACAACCTAATGTTAGTGCCATATTCTCACAGCTGTGATTTCATCCGTGCATGTGGGTAATGTGTGTGTGTGCAAGAAATGAATAAATAAATAAATAAATAAATAAAAACAGTCTAGAAAACCAATGAGTACCACAGTAATTAAGCTCAACAAAGGAAATCAATGATGTTTTGTTTTTGATTTGATGTGATTTCAATCAACCCGTTCCATGAAGATTGATGCAGTTGTGGAAAGCAAACAAAACATATTAAACAAAAGAGTCTCACAGTATATTGACACATGGTTATCGCTATGCCTCATCAACTTTCAGTAAACCAGTGTGATCTCAGCACATGCTCCCTTCTCCAATAGTTGTAAATCAGCTACAGTATGTGTGCAGAGAGAAAGCGAGAGTACATCGGTGAAATGGGTCATGCAACACCTTGTAGCCTGTAGGTAGAGCCAGGGGAGAGTGAGAGAGAGACTGAAAGAGAGAGTCATTCCTTTTTAAACTAAAGAAAACAGTATACATTATTGGGACAACCTGAAGTACCATATGGAACAGTTACTTCTTGATGGATCAAGCAAGTCTCGATATACCTGTGTAACAGTGGCTATCTTACAATAGGAAAGATTTATTTATATAGCTCAATATCACAAATATGACCATTTCTAAACTAATTTCATGTTACCTTTATGCTAGTTCAATACCACATTTGCATATGAAGTTTTCCTAAATTCTTTACCAAAACAAGTTTGTGATTCTAACATGAACCAATACTTTCGTAGAATAACGATAGTTCATTACAGTGTAGAGTTTTATATAATTGCTCTCAGGTTTTAGGAAAGAAACTCCCTAGTTCACTGATCAGTCCAGCTTCCAGCTGTCGGGCTTATTCAGTTCACCATGGATGTTTTTTTTTCCATCCTACAGTCTTGGAGCGAAGAGTGAACTTGCAAGATTTAGGCTGGATTTGTGAGGTTACAGGATTACATGCTCTTCTACAGGTTGATAGACTATTAAACTGTTACAGTCCTCTGGCTGAGGGGAACCCTTCCAAAAATGCATGGTGGCCAATCTCAAAATAACACTAGATTAGTCCCTGAGTTCACAAACCTAGACACACTTTCAGCCTACAGTAAATGTGCATTTAAGACTGTATCTATTGATATGTACAACTCATGACCATGAAATACAGTGGATTTGTTTAAATTGAGTTATCCTGTCATTCCAGTTCTGTATGAAGGTCTGATGTCAGGAGCATAACCATGGAAACGCGTTACAGAAGAAAAAGATCCATACACAGTAGAGCATGATTTTTCCATATGAGAACTGAAGGTCTATGGATAGAGGGTGTTATTTTACATGTTGTTTTACAAGTCCATGGAGAAAATGTCTTTATTTTTGCTTGGCTTGACTATAGATTACAGTACAGTCTTTTTATTTTTGGTCTGAAACTAATATAGAATATCTTTCTTCCTGTGTGGTAAACCACAAAACGGTAATCTGTGGTATCCCTAAAGCACAAGATCATCCTTAACTATTGTATAGTACTGATAGTTGGCAAGTACAACGTGTGACAAAAAGAGAGACAAAAAAGAAAGGAGGCTGCTACATTATGATCAAAGATTTAAAAAAATCCTCAATTCTCTTCAGGCTTCATTATTGTGAGAAATGTCTTTAAGGGAATATGATCTACATTAAAGTCTTATCAGTATTTCACTCTTAACAGAGATGAGAGAAAAAATTTAATGGGAGCGGTGAAAGGTGTATCGGGTAAAATAAGAGATATAAAAAAAACAATAAATCAGCATATGTGAAACCCTATAGGGACATGGCAGTGGAGAACAGAAGGGATGTGAGAGGGAGTTGGTCCAGGTGATCTAACAGCTGGTCATCCTGACGTTAAGCTTTCTCATCGCTCAATTACATTGTGTGCCCCTATCTGTGAGTTAGGTGTGCTTCCCCCTGTTGAATCACTGCTCATTTGTAAGGTCAAGGTTAATTTGAGATCGAGGATTTATGCTCAAACAGGAATCTGGTCGAGCAGGATATAACTGGTCAAGATCATGCAGTGAGTACACGTTTCATGCGTGGCTTGTGTGTGCACTGTACTGTAGGTTTGTGCAGCTGATCCGATGCATAAGCTATTTTCGATAATGACAACAGGCGTGCTTGGCTTCTTCCTGGTCAAATCCCAGAGGGATGAGCTCCTCTTCCTTTTATCCACTTCTTTAGATTTCAACAGACCCACATTAACACAGAGAGGATGGGCACTGAATGATGTATGGATATTTTGGGTGTGGTAGGTTTTCATGTGTGGGGGTGAGTGGGAGCTACATGTATGATTATATATGTTTCATTGTGGTATGTGTAGGTGTCAGTGTGTGAAATGAAGTGACTTACTGTGCCCTACCAATATGGCATGGGAGTAAGTGCATGAAGGTTCATCTATGTGGGTGTTGAGTGGGTGTATTATAAGTAGATAGTGGAGTTGGATATGTGTATGTAAATGTACTTTTTCTATAATGCATTGCATTGCAGGGCAGTAATTATCCTGCTATATCAGCTATGGCACTTCTTTTTTAATTGTTTAGGTTTAGATAGTAATAGAATGAAAATGGATATGGGTTGGGGTTAAAAATGCAAAATACACAGATTACAGATACTCAGTTTGTGTTTCTGTGTTATGGTTTACATTCATCATTAGTGCTGCAAGAATACAAGATGAATCAGTGAACGAGAAAATAAAGCTAACAAGTAAAAACACAGACTACCTGATCGTCAGCTGTATATAGAATGTAATTTTTCTGCATTACTCTAAATATCATTAATATAAATAATGAAACAACACTTTAAAATACTTTTCTGACTTCTGATTCTGGATCATGCCCTCCCTCAAGTTCACACTCTAACTTGAACCTAGGTATAATTTTAGCCACTAGTTTGTATCTTTCTGTAGATGGTAGTTCCAGAGGGAACTTTCAAAAAACACTAGTGACAACACAGCAAAAGGGGAAAAAAATCAAAACATTACACAAATATCTTCTATTTAGAATCATAACATGGTTGCTCAAATCCAGAATTTGTACAGACTCAGAGTCACTCTGGTCCACTCATTTTATCTGCTGGACAAATATTACTGTAAGTCTGCTGGGTTATTGTTGGTGTTGGATTTAAACTTTGGTTTCATCATTTATGTGAGACAGATGAAATCTATGAGATCATGAAAATATCTTGCTGCTGGTTAACAGGTAAAACAATGAGATTTTGATTATACTCTAAGGTTTTTGCTGGGAAATGTGTGACCAAGTCACAGCATGAGTGCTGAGGTAATACACAGGCATACACACAATTATTGGACAAGAGAATTAAATATACACTCTTTGGAGTTTTTGATCACTAGTGTGTTGCAGAAATATTTTGACGAGCATTTCAAAGTTTTACTTGTGTCCTGTTGTCTGCTAGCACACACATGAGAACACATGATCACAAGGTTGACATTTTCCTACTGACTGCAGGTCAGAAATGCAAAAGTGTAGTACATGCAAGGCAGAAAACATGAAGAAGATGACAAAGACACCAAATGCTAAACTCTATGATTGCCAGTGTCTATCAAAAAAGGGCATCTATATTGCGGCTCTTGGTTCCACACTGTCCCAGTGATCTATTTAGCGCAAGCAGGAAAACACCACAGAGCAACCTTAGGTACAGTGCATGCTATATTTTTTTGTCAACACTCTTGAGCTTAAAAAAATAATAACACTCATTCAGTCTAATTATCAGGAAACCAGGATGCCAGGACAAATGCTTGAAAATCAAATCCGTCCCAGTTTTAATCAGGATGTCTCTTCTCCCAAGCAGCGATCACTAATACTGTGATTGCCGGCACCTGTGGCTGGGCCTATAAATAAAGGTCCCTTCTCTCTCTCTCTCTCTCTCTCTCTCTCTCTCTCTCTCCCTCCCTCCCTCCCTCCCTCCCTCCCTCCCTCCCTCCCTCACCACTTCTTTTTCTCCTCCTACATGTGTTTTATGTTGTTAATTTCCTGCACCGCATACTGCACCATCTACTCACACACGCCACTGACAATGCATGCACCTTTTAGACACACTGACAACACTCCCTTCCCTTTGTGTTTAGTATATTTGGTTCATTAAATAAACCATTTATCATATGTTGTTGTGAGGATTCCATTCCTGTTGTGGCCTTACCTGACAGTCATAACAGGTCGTAGTGTTTTAAATCGTGACTGGTGGATGGCTATTTCTATTCCCAATGATACACCATTGTTTTTTTTTTTTCCTTTTTTCTGTGTAATGAAGAGTCTCCCTCCTACATATTTGTTGAAAGCAGTCATTTTCCATGATGCATCCCTCCCACTCTCTCTTTCTCTCAGTGTAACTCTCTCTCATGCACACACAATATAAAAACACACCACACTGGCCCCTCACATCCATCTCTCCATCTTGCGCCACAGAAATGGACTGAGCCAGCTTTCTCAGCCCCCACTGTGCTTCATTGTGGTGGCTGCCCTCCTTCTTGTGAGCCTGCAGTGATCTGCTGGATATTCCCTTAATCTATGGCTCTTACATAATCTGCAGCAACGTCGTTCACAGAACCACCGCCTGTCTCCTCATGTCACTCTCTGTGGTTATCACAGAGTTACAGGGCAGAATAGAGGACTGGGTGAGAGGGGTGGATGGACGATAGATACACTGTAGATGGATGGATGGATAAGAAATTGTATAGAGTGATGAGTGAACTGTATTGATGTGGGGGTGGTTACTGCAGATTATGTGTATGCATTCATATGACCCTGTATATGTGTTTGTGTGTGTGCTGCAGATTATGTGTGCACGTGTGTCCTTCTGTGGGACTGTGAGTACAAGCGTGGATAAAGCGGCAATTGCGATGTCTCGGTGTGTATATGTGGACAGCACATTCAAGCAAAAAGAGAGGAGCAGAGGCAAAATAGGGACGGTCAAGAGATGTGTGTTTGTGCATGAGAGAGAAAGGGAGCAAGTGTGTGGCAAAAGAAAATAGAGGGCTCACATGAAGAGCACAGCACGGGGGATGGAGGAGAAGCAGAAAAATGGGGATAATGCTACATTACATTTATCTGCTTTTGCAACACAGATGTGTTTACACATCAAGCCAAAAAAGCTAACTGAAACTGAAAAAAAGTAGAACAATGAAATTGACATAAAAACAAGGACAAGAGGAGAAGGAAATAGAAATACGCTTAGCAAGAGACTGGAACTGAGCAAGTTAAACCAGGAAGATGAAAGACATGATGAGTGTGAAATAGAGCCAGAAATAAAGAGAGATGATACTGACAGAAAGATGACATGTATACATCCACAACAGTATCCAACATCAGTACTGCAGGGTATACTGCCACTGTTATCAGTTATTTTGCACACAAATAATGCAAATTGCCTCAAACGTCGCACCCCATCTTCTCCGGGGCATAACTCAATCAAAACAGAATGAATAATAAGTCATAAACATTCTGCTGGAATCTGTATGGTTACGATGCAAAACATGGTCCATTTTCACAAAAATTTAAATAAATAAAGTTTAGCTTCACATCAGCAAAGTGTGACCCATTCACATAAAAAAAAACCTCTTCTGCTCTGTTCATTTACTGGGAGTATTAGTAATTTCAAGATGTAAAACTACTGCGTATACTAAACCACAACTTTCTGCATGTGCTCCACTGAATTCTAATGTAAAGGCAGTGGTACATCATTGCTGTGAAACCTGAAGTGTTGGCAGTCAGCTAATGTTATACTGAAATTGAAATCAGTATGCCTTTTCTAATTTAAGCTAATTCGAAAGGTTACATAGACAAAATACATGTTATTATTCTGTGCAAAGTTCAATGAGGGAGAATAGCTCAGAAAATGAGCGCTGACGTTATAACATCAAACATTCAGCAAATGGGGCATAAAGCTCTCCCAAGAATTACATTATTTTGAACCTCAGTTTAGGTTTATGAGAAAAAAGGCAGAAGGACACGCCGATGCAGTGGTTTGATGAAGAGATTTCCAGGCATGTTATCAGGCCAAGTGAAGCCTTTTTCCTTTCCTGTGAGTGCAGCTCTGATCACCACAGCAATGCCGTGCACTTGGTAAAGTCTGTATCTGTACCTAACACCAATAATCACTAACTGTATACAATGTGTATTAAGACAAGTTGGAAGTGATTGTGTGTCTGTTGTTATGAGGTTAAAACTCGAGTCATAACAGATTTGTCAATGCCTGTAAACAATGAAAGTGCGAAACAGAGGGGCAGACTTACTGAAGAAACCTCTCCGTCGTTCCCTGTGGCTGCAACCGGAGCCGCGGCTGCAGCTGCCGCTGCCGCTGCCGCCTCCTGAGCTGCCGCCTTCATGGCTGCTGCCTTCCGCAGCTCCCGGTTGGCCTGCAGGGTGGAGAAGTAGTTGACGGCCGCAAACTCAATCAGGGCGGAGAAAACAAAGGCAAAGCAAACGGCGATGAACCAATCCATGGCCGTGGCGTAAGAAACTTTGGGAAGGGAGTGGCGGGCGCTGATACTGAGTGTTGTCATGGTCAAGACTGTGGTGATACCTGCATAAAGGGAGGAAAGAGACGTTAGGAACCTGCTGTTCTTCATTTCACATGTTATCTCACTATGGTGCTGCGATTGATGTGTTGTCTTTGTTCTTACTGTTTTGGGATACTGTGGCAGTATGTTATTTGAACCTTTTTTTTGTCTTAATAATATATTAAATAATTAGACATGTTGTGAAATACGATTATTTTCTTTATTGCAAAGCGTTAGATGATAAGATTTACAGACCAATCTGTGAAGCTCACTAATTAACACATTTGTTGTCTTGTTTGTTTAATGTTCACACAAAGAGAAAATACTGTGAGAAGTCACTTTGCTCTTCCTGTTAGCCAAAAAACATAAGGTAACGTTACTCCCTGAGATTCCCATGATATACAACATGTTCTTTAGTGAGCTTAAGAGGTGTTCAGTTTTTTTTTTTTGTGGACAGAGCCAGGATAGCTGTTTTCCCCTGCTTACAGTCTTTTTTTTCATGGCTTTATTGGATAGGATAGCTGAAGATTGACAGGAATAGTGGGTAGAGAGAGGGGAGATGACACGCAAGCCCTTTGCCCAAGCAAAGGGCTGCAGGTCAGATTTGAACCAGGGCCGCTGCAGCAACCCTGTATATATGGGTTGCCAGCTCTACCGACTGAGCTAACCAGGCGCCCCCTGCTTACAGTCTTAATGCTAAGCTAAGCTAACCACCTCCTGGCTCTAGCTTCATATGTAATGCACAGACATCAAAATGGTATTGATCTTTTCATCTAACTCTTTTAATAGTGTGAAAAACTGTTTTTGTCTAACTAATGTCTAACTATTCCTTTAATGCTGTTTTGATACATTGCTCAGTAAAGCACTGTTGTACAATTAAATCATGTTTTCAGTGACCCCTTTCTGATAGAGATCATTTTCAGGATATTATTATTATAAACATTCTAGTAAAACATGCAGGAGGTAGTATATTACATAGATGGACAATGGTTATTTACCTCTTTACTTTACTCTTAGTGTTGTGAATAATGGTGTTCCAGAAAAGTGAAGTGGGTGAATGTCTGTGTTTCTGTAAAACTGTCATATGACTTAACGCCTGCAAATGTTTGTAAATGAATAACAATGGAGAGGCTTGATTATGAGGGACCACTGCAATCATCTTGAATTGGACACACAAACACCCTAGATGCGCAGACACACACAGACATCACCAAACATAATGTCACTATACATTGCAAAACAACTTCTGAATAAATAGCTAACATTCAGTCTGCACTAGAGTATCTTTTCTCCAAATCAATAGATCAAATCTATCAGGTCACCTCATCAAAGCCATTGTATCATTATGTTGCTAAAAAAAAAAAGCCATTATTATTTCAGTTCTCTTAGCAAAATCTACCATCTGGCAAATAACGTCTGTGATCATTCAGCATTGCAGGGATGATAGCAGTTGAAGCACTCATGTTTTCAGTATTTATTTGACAACAATTCTGCAGAGATGATTCAAAGCTAGTTCCTAGTGAGGTCTTCGCATGAACCACTGTGAATCATTGACGCTCAGGTCTGAAAGCTATCAACAAAAAAGTATTTTCCAAAATACCAGTGTATTCCTATGTGCATGAGATTGAAATCTTACTTATAGTGTGTATGCTTTTTGTTTTTTCTGCTTAAAATTTGAGTTTTCCTGTCATGCTGATAAATGTATGATATGATGTTAGTAATGGAGAAAAGTGGAAAAAGCAACAAGATGAAAAAGCAACAGTATTAAAATCAGCTAATTCTCGTTCAAATTTTAGACATGCACATAAATGCTTGCACAGAATATTGAATCATGTTTGAAATTGATGGCAACATATTAACCACTTATTAATCACTTGGATGGGTGGGTGTTAATAAATAAATAAATATTGTTGTGTCTTGTCTAAAAAAATCACATTATTACATATCAAGCAACACGATATAATCTAACATTGTGCAATTCAATGTAACAAAATGAGGAAATTTTGCCAATGAATCAGTGAATCAGAGTTACACAGTTGATTTTCTTAAGGAATATCTCTGACACATGGCAGCAGCTCTGTTTCATGGCATATAACTAGAATGTCAGGCCATGTGGCATTTCATCTCAGTGAGGTTTGCCAAAAAGTCACTTCAGTGGATGCTAATCTGTCCATAGACAGACTAACCCATGCCCCCGCACTGGCACGCCAATAAAAGAGACCAAATGTCTGTAAACATTCTCGAGAAAGCCATCCAGTAAGATGACCAGACACAAGCCACAAAGCATTTGCTAATATTTGCTCATTTGTTAATAAGGAACTCACAATGTGGAAAGATGACGATAAAAGATAAAATAAATAAACGTATCAGTGGATAGGTGGGAGAGTGAAAGCAAGATGTTTTTTGATATCTTTCTTAGTTGAAGTAAGACTGCACTAGGCTTTTAAGTCTTAGTGCAGACTGTCAATCCATCTTGTAAAATTCTGGCCAAAACTCCAGATTGAAGCATAGACTACAAGGATCCCTCTGAGTACAACCTCAAAGAATATAAAACTAATAAAAGCACTGTATAGATCTGAGGGCATTCATAAATTCTCTTGGATACATGATGGTTTGAGAATAGATTCGACCACACAAAAGGTCCATGGCAGGTGCATTTTAGAGGCACTTTTGAAGTGTCAAACTATGAAAACATACCAAAAATAGATCTGAAGTGCAGTTTTACCTTAAAAAATGCCTCTTAGTCACTGAAAAAGGATTTTCCTCTGTGTTGCCCAGATTCCATCCTTATTAAGTCAGAGAAAGATGCTGACAATGAACATCTCTTTTAATGGCCCATTAACAAAGTACATATCTAATTCACTTTCATCAAGCTAAAGCAAGCAGGGAAAAAGGGCCATTGAACACTGCTATCCATGCTTTTACCAAATGTGTGCTGTAGCTGTACACATTTCATTAGCAGTGCAAGAACTTACAGGGGATTTAATGCACCTAATAATGTCTCAAAAGCATTTTCTACACACCACTTCAGCAGTGAAAGCTAGCAACTCCGAAACACAACCTCCTCGGATAGCCAGCCAACGCTGACTGTCTCAAGCTCAAGCACAACTTGAATGATTGCAAAGGGGAGGAGGGACATGGGAAGAAAGCCTGTCAGGGTAGGAGGGAGAGGCAAGAGAAAGAGAAAGAAAGAAAGAAAGAAAGAGTGTAGGAGGGAGGGGGATGGAGTATAAAGACAGGATAGAAATGAAATGCTTGGGGCATTTATGTGCTTTTATAGGGAAAAAAAAGCAAGGTACAAATTAGGCCACACTCAATTAAGTCTGTGAGACTTGTGCTCAAGGGACTTTCAGCTCTTAGAGAGGTTGTTGACAATCCAGCGCACAACATACTATGACTTTATGTGCAGAGTGGAGCACATCCATGTAGCAATTTGTCTTCTCTTCTGCCTCATTTTCAACTTTCTATGTCACATGAAACGTCAGATATCCACCGGCATTGATGAAACATACTAAGATAAAGGCTTTTTTGGACATATTGTTTGCTGTCCTTTACGCCAGAAAAATATGGAACTACATGCAAGCACTTTAGGAGCTCATAACCAGGGCGCTTTCATTTAAGAAACAAACTGTGTTGCATATGAAGATGATTCCAAAATGTGGCATTAGACCTCTTCTAAAATACCCAGTGTGCCTTGAGCCTACCCACAGATCCTTTATAACAACAACCAATCCAAAGAATGAGCAGTTTTTTTATCCTATACCCAATATTGAGTGGAATGAAAACAGCAGGACGAGTGAGGTTAATGAGTTGCCACAGATGTGCTTTCTGCATGGGGCCTCAACTTCCACAGGAACACTAATGATTGGTATCTATTCTCTGAAGAAGTGCGCAGGCTCGAAGTGCTGGCTCGCTTCCAAATACAAGCGCAGACTACAGAACCTACAAGGGCCAGTGTTACTCCGCTCAGCTGCAGCTTGTGGAAAATTAACATAAGGGGAAATTAAATTATAAAAGGTAGGAATTTTCCCCATATTTTTCCTCTTTGCTTTGTCTCTGTCTTTTAGTCTCTCATTCCTCTCAGTCTCTTTCTCTCTCTATGTCTTTGTTCAGTGTCTCTCACCCTCTCTGCTCCTGAGGCTAGAGCTTGATGGCAACTGTAGCGTAATGTAATGTGAGCAAGCGGAACCTGTGAGTGTTCGGAAGAGGGCCAAGTAAACATCCTCCCTCTCTCGGCCCTTGCATGACCAATTTCAAAAAGGACATTTATTCCCAATTAATTCAGCTCCACCACAGTGGAGGAGGAATACAGATAATGAAGAAAGGTTAAAACATGCTGTGATGACTGTGTCTGTCTTTGTTCTTTTTTGGAAGGTTGTATTTTAAGGATCACTCTGTGCAGTTTAATCCAATTTCAAGTTCAGTAAATGGAGGAAAGGATGTTTTCTTAAAGTTTGCAGAGCTAGACTCAAACTGCAGGTCAAGCAGTGGGTGTTGAGTCGATAAATCCAGAGAATCTTCATTTGAGCTTTGGAGACTTGAAAAAATTAAAGTTGAGTTTTGAGAGTTGAAAACTTAGCAACAAAAACTTTATGTGAGCAACTTGCAACATGTTAAACTAAGACTCATCAGAAAGTCAAAGACACTACACTATAATGCATCAGAGGCACAGCTTTAGAAATTAACTGACTTGTTCTACTCAGTGATTTGACTTGATTTACCTTTTTCCCAACATGATAGTCCCCTTTAAATGATTGCAATCATGCAAAATGACAACAGAGGAAACTGTTTTTTTAAGAGAAAAAGGCATCATTATCTACAAGACTATTTTGTTGCAAATTTTGGCTGTTAAAATGAAAGCAGTCCAATTTTTCTAAATTATTCCATTCCAACACGAAGGTAATGTGCAGCATGTGTTATTCTTCCATTCGCTTCAGTCTACCAAAATGTCCCTTTTCACATGAATATTCTGAAAACAAGCTTGAATGTATATGAGTAAAGTGAGTTTAAAAAGGCTTACCAAACACAGTCCGAGCTGGAACTGATTCCTTATTAATCCAGAAAGAGACTTGGGCCAGGATGACCGTCATAATACAGGGAATGTAAGTCTGAATCAGGAAGAAGCCCATTTTCCTTTGCAGGTGGAAGTGGACGGTCATGATGACATATTCACCTGACAAAGTGAACACCAGATATTTGTGTTTCTTTTGGTGGTAAAGTATCAATTTATAGACAAACAAGCAGGACTGACAACATAATAACATCTCTTCAAAAAAGTGAAATACCTATTTTGAGCCAAAAAAATTATAATTACAGTTTAGTTAGTCTTAAAATTGCTAAGAACAGCAATCATACTTGAACGTGTTGCTTGCATGCAATTTATTTGTATCTTTTCAAAAATACCTTGGTTTAAAATAAAAGCTCTCATTTACAGCACAAAATATTACATAACCCCATAGAAAACCTCAAAAAAAACATGTCACACATCACATCAAAAGTTCAAACCACAGATCACACTCAAATATGTGACTAGGAGCTGTGAAAGAGTGATCTTAGATAGTAACAATCTCAACACATATTGCACACTGGAATAGATTCATGCAGTTCTGAGCACAAGCTCTTCTCACCTGTATTGGATTTTAGCCTCTCGCTTGACACTGTCTGACCGATGAGGTCGTACTGCAGCAAACTGGATGACTCCTGTGGCACCTCGACAGACGACAGAGGACCTTTCTTCCAAGTGTACACAATCTCGCTGATAGGGTAAGCATCTAGACAGGATGGATGAAGAGCTTTGTAAAAACGTGAACATCCATCATTTCATTAAAGTGCTATTTTTTTAAATAATTTAGGGCACAAAGAAATAAACTTTGACACTGCGAGAGAATAATAGACATATTTTTACTGCCTCCTGGGTTCTAGCTCTCAAAAGGCTGCGATTCTTAAAAACAAGAAATCAAATAAATAAGTAAGCATACAAACAAATAACTGTGTATTAAACTGCTTAACTGAAACATTATCAGTGAGCCAAAAACTAAATAAAAATCCAGCATATGTTTTTGGAAAAATCTGACTTAATCCCATCGTCATTCCAGGAGATAGGAGCCAATTGCTAATGTTACTGCTGATACAAAATGACCGGAGTTACAGATAACCTTTAGATGTGATTTTCATTTTTATACACATCTTTGCAGGCCTGGTCATCTATACACTTGACACATGTTGAGTGAGGAACTCTTGTCATATATATATATATATATTTTTTTTTTTAACGTGCCCCAAATGTACTGTATCTGACATTTCAAATTGAAATCTTTGAATATATGCTGTCAGATTACTCAGTCAGTCAGTTGCTCAGTGACAAAGTGATCATTTGAGAGTGACACCATCTGTCAGACCAGCGAGGCTTAACAGAAAACAAACTCACAACTGCCGAACTTGAGCGGGCAGGCATGGCCATCCATCGGGAAGTTCATCAGACGCATGGGGCACTCTGCATTTATAGTTAATCTGTCAGAATAGAGAAGATTTGAAAGAAGTGTTTGATTTATATTTTGATAACACTGTTACTGGCTAAGTAATGACTACTGTTTTAAGCAGGATCCAGTCAGTGTTGTGCCATGTTATACAATGCCTGACACACTAACTAAAAGAATATTTAGTGAAAAGTGGATGGGGTGAACTCTAGAGATTAATATGTGATTATTTCGTATTATAGCCTGTTATAGCAATATATCACATCCTGTTGGAGAGAGAAGTGTAAGCTGCACCTCTCACGAAGGGAACTAACTACATAAGTTCACAGCATAGATTAAACACATTTCTTGAATTTAATTATTAAATGTTTTAAAGGGAAGTTGATCCAGTTGAATAAGCGTTTTAAAAAACTGTTTTTGGGACATCAGAAACTCAAGGGGATTTTTTTTCATTCTACATATCTCCTTTTGGAACAAAGCTGGAGTCATGTTTGTTTGAATTGCTTTCCAGGCCTGTTTTCAGTATCAGATGGCACATATCTTGTTTTTGGAATGGCACTCCTCATTTCTTTTCATGTCTGTGCATATTCTTGGATGCCTGTTTGTTTGATTCGCTTTCCAGGTCTGTGCTCTATTCCGGTCTTGGCTGGGTTTGGAGCTCACTGTCCAGCACTGTTTACCTCATGGTGTAGAGGATAGTTCCGTTCTGCATGATGCGGAACAGCTTGTTGGGGGTGGTCATGTTGTGCGAGATCGACCTCTTGCCATTCCGGAAAAAGGTGTCCGGCGTCCAGATCTTGCTGACCATCAGGTTGTTGAGCCGCAGGATCTCGATGGGGCCCTCGAATTTTAGCCGTTCATCAATCCATGTCTGACGAAAGAACACGTCCATGGTGTATTCCTGGATGAGAGAGTGTGGGTTAAGGGTTTTATTTACTACTACTACTTACTACTACCACTTCGACTGCTGGTGCTGCTTCTACTCATGATGCTACTATCTCCACTACCCCCAGAGAGAATGGCAGATGGGTTGGTGAGCCATGGTTTCATTGGACCTGCTGGATAGGGTACTGGCAATGTGATTAGTTTTTCTTTTTTTAGTTTTGTTTCTCGACTCTTCCACTATTACTGCCAGTTCTAGTGCAATTAAAAGCTTAGGTTTGCACTTATTTACCAATTAATACAATCTATTTTTGTTTGTTTTAAGGGAATTAATATGGGGTTTTAAATACAAACAAGTCCATTCTGGATACATATATTTTTTTTCAAAAATAATTTTTCCTTATCATGTACATTAAATTCCTTCAAAAGACAACACACTCAAACAGATCCCAAGACACAAAACATCTTTTTTGATTGATGATGAACATGAATACAGTTTATTTCATCCTCAGAGTCAGCATAAATTGCACATTAAGAGTCTGTCCTAGATGCTTTTAGATCAAATGGCTGGCCTTGCTGCCCTGAAGAGCCTTTTACATTTCTCTCTATAGAACTGCCGCCAGCGTATCACATGGCAGTGCAAGTAGGCTTTAGATGCAGTATAAGCCTAAACAGACATACAGCCCTCAGCCTATCCCATGTCGAGAGTAGCAAACCTATCCCGTCCCAACATCAGCCACATCGCTCTCCCTCTCTGGCGGGGGGGATTGTCAACCAGATTAAAATCCTAAGCTGCACTAATGACATCCTGCCCAAATGCTGGAATAATGAAGGCTGGGAAAACCATGCCTTGATACTATATGCACAGAGTTACTGGGAAAACAGCATATATTCTCTTTTGTGTTCATACATTAACAGTGACTTTGTTAATAACTGATAAAACACATGCATTTGTACGACAGCCAGTAAATTAGCCTGTGCATCTTGTATGACTGTTTCAGCAGTCAGCATGGTTTACATACCATCTCAACATCTGAAACAGGTCCAAAGCTGGTGACAAAGATGTCAGTTTTGACCTCTGTGACTGGACCTACAGCAGAAGGATAAGTAGTTGCTTTGATACAGACAAAAATACAACAACTTTAAAACTGACATTTGAATGTTTTTCAAAATAGAAGCCAGTAAAAACATATATAGCTATATCTAATGTATACCCTATACAAAGAGCAAAATGGCCACTGAAAATCTAATTTGTTTAACAAAATAGAACAGGAAATTGATTTTAAGTTGATTCTCAAACTCACTTTGCTTTTGTCAGCTGGTAATTGTGTCATAATCGTATAAAATAAAATAAAATAATATCACTAACCATTTCAACACAAAACTAAATACAAATGAGGCACATATTACTGCTGGAGTAAAACTTTATCTTCTGAGAAAAAGAACATCGATCCAATAATTTATGAGGCAAGAACACATAAAATACAACATGACACGGTCATTAGCATACCTCCAAATCCAGGTCGCAGCCTGTTGTCATAGCCATCCAGTAATCTATCCAATATACGCGTGATGTTATCCAAATAGATACTGGTGTCACTGTGCTGGTTTCCCCAAACACTGCTCGCACTGTAACTAAAGTACATATGCACCTTTGAAAGCTTACATCAACAGATAAGAAAACAGTTGAAAAATGCCGAGTTACTCAAATGCACATCCATCCACATTCTCTGGTTGCCGTGCGTAAAAGTCCGAGAACATGCAAAGAAAAGAGTTGTCATACTCACCAAGACAGAAATAAGCAAGTTAAAAGGAAAGCCATGCCTCGCAAACACCCCACAACTAGAAATCCCTGGTCAACTTTTAAAATCAGCATATTCCATCTCTTAAAAGCATGATTAAACGCGGGTCAGGTCTTCTTTTAGTTGTGAACCGTGCGAGGATATCGCGCCAGTCCAGCACGACTTTCCCTCTAGTGCGGTTGCGCCCGCCTCAGTCTGAATCGCTCAGTTGGAAAAACCTGAAGAGTTTTTAAGAGAGTGAAGAGGAGGGACGAGGGGGACATTAACGTTAATAGAACGAGGCATTTTATAAGAAATACACCGGTCTGAAGTGCAACTTGGATATTTAGAAAATGTTTGACGGAAATAATGACGGTGCCTATTTGATTAAAAGGAGTTGAAGAGAAAAGAGCGATGGAGAGAAAACAGAGAGAGAGAGAGAGAGGGGAGGGAGAAGTGGAGGAAGAGAGCTTGCACAAATACAGTACTATCATATCAATGGACAGTATACCCAGTGACCCTTTTGAATGCATTATAATTTTTAAACATCTTTTGCCACCGCCTTCTCAGCTTGTGTTACCTATGTATGTGTGTGTGTGTGTGTGTGTGTGTGTGTGTAAAACCACTGGTCTTGGGCATGCAAAGACAGAAAAATGCTACTAGAGATAAAGCATGATGAACTGTGATTCATATAGTGGTTGGGTGGTTGAGTGGAGTAGGTGGTAGATACATTTAGTGCAACTTCAAACTCACAATATCCATAGACCAAGAGCAAGGGGAATTTACCTCGCAGTCACTGCCGACTATTCTTACCGGGATGACATAAGTTTATTTCTTTTGCAAAAACACAATTCAAGAAATTGCATCATTTTGACTAAAGCAAGCACTGTGTTGGAGGGCTTGTTTGAATGCACTAACATGAGTGTTTTAAAAGCTAATTATAACCCTTGCACTGAACATAAGCTACGATGAAGTGAAAAAACAAAACAAAAAACAATCCATGCAATATAAAAAAAATATATATATATACAATATATTCTGATGTTCCAACTTCAGCGAGTATCTTCACTACATTATGTCTCCATTGATCATTGAGCTAGAATTTGTTATTTCAGCACAGCATTACTTTTTCATTATAAGTGGTATCATAGTTATGTTATCAATAATTCACGTGAGAGAGAAAAAAAAATATAGGATATTCTTCTGACAGCATTAAAATGTGGAGCTTGATTACGCAACATAATCCTTCAACTCTGGTCTCTTTGTACTCAAAACACAAGTTATATAATGATCTCAAAATATGGTCATATGCAAACAACAATGGATCACTTTCAGATCAAGTGCACCAAGAGTTAGTCCTCTCAAAGAAGATTAGATGCTACTGCAATATATCTGATGAATGGATAGGATCCTTTTGGTTTTCAATGAAAACCTTTGGTTAGTACTGATTTAGCTCTATAATCAGAAAGTTCAGTAGGATTTCAAGTTTACTATAGGGTAACTGGAATTTGCTTTTCCACATGTTCTACACACATACATACAAACATAGTCTATATCTTGTGGTGCAACAAAGAAGAGGAGTTATGTGGTATGGTGTGTTGTCCAAGGACACATGTAACCTCTCTGACTACACTGCAGATCAGACCAAACATCTTTTTTCTCAGTGTCCACTACAACCCACAATCCAAGACTTGTAGCAATAGAAGAAAAAGAAGTAGCAGCAGTAGTAGGAGTAGAAGTGGCAGGTGTAACATTAATTCATGTAACAGTAGTATACGAGGAATAGCAGTAGGAATAGTAGGAGGGGTAGACATTGTAGTAGCAGTAGCAGGCAAGTTGGAGAAGTAGCGGCAGCATTTGTCATATAAACATTCACATAGTACTGGAGCAGTTGTAGTGACAATTGAGAATTAATCTTGTATAATTTGTGAACAAGTTGCTGTTTCAGTTTCTCCGTGGACTTGCTGGTAGACAAAGTAATCTGACGCTAATGCTGTGATCAACTTGATCTTATCAACCATGAGGTCAACTCATCTGACCAACCCCAGTGCACTGACCATGAAAGGCTCCTGACCTGATTCACTTTGCTGGCACTAAATGAGTTTGTGGGTGAGCCAGGACAAGAGGGAACTTATTCCACTCCTTATTGGTGTGGATTAGCATGCTATGCAATGGCTTCTAACATCAGAAGCAAGCAGAGGCCTGCACACACACACACGGACACGCGCTCACGTGATATAGACGAGAGCCATTACTCTTTAATCCACCTCTATAGCTGACAGCTTTAAGTATCATGCACTGGACACACCCACATAGTCATTATTAATCTCTGTTTTTTAAGTATGTCACCTATTTCTATTCTATTCAGTATTCACACAAAATTAGTGCAATACAATTCTGAATTCATACTAAGGGGGGTTCTGCAGCAACACAATATTTTTTAGAGATTGTTCTATGTGCACTCACTTGCATGTTCTTGCATGCACCTCTGTCTTATGTGCCTGTTTGCCCCCTCTGATTTTCTATCAGAAAGTTATTGTTTGTTCTAGATATACAGGCTTCCTTACTGGCTAATTGTCTGACAGGCTGGCTAAACGGCCGATAGATAGAATGGTATAGTAAGTAGTGAGATGCATCTCTTAAATGGCTGGATGTCTAAGTGACTTATAGACAGCTATAAAAATGGAATTCCCGCCTTTCTGACTGGATCACTGTCTTCCTGGTTACCAAGGCTTGAAGCGTGCTCTGTTAAGCACCCAGCCAAACATCCACAATAAGTCCTGCAGAGACTAGAGAAGCAGATGGTTAGACTGGCTTTTTTGGGAGCTATGTAAATGCAGATCATTATATAAAACAGATTTTAATCCTACAAACTGATAATAACTCAGGTGAATCCTTTTACCCGGCTTATTGATTATCCTGCCATAACCCTCATATTCTGTCATGACACTATATTCCATCTGGCCCAATTCATGCCTTCTCTATAACTGGTCATTAGTTTTTAAAGCCTGTGTCAAGCGAACAATGTTAAATAATGGTAGGCCATTATATTTAATAGACAATATTTCCACAAAATATAATCACTGAACCATTCATTGGACTTAAGGTCTGAATTGAGATGAAAAAGGCGTAGTGATTATGATGGATTGCAATTAGGTACGCTTCATTCCATGAGAACAATACACCTCATATTCCATGGTGGGTAACAATTCAATTATGTCAATTTCGGAAGTACAATTACTTTGGGAAGATAAGGGGACATACTTCAAAATCCAACGTGTTTTGATGAAGAAAAAAAAAGCCTTCAGTAGGAGTTTGTTAATTAGTTCATTATTCAACAAAACAGGATTTAATTAAACATGTCATGATATGTACTCTGGATTTGATTCCTCATAACATGCAACTGGGTGCCGAGCTAGCAGATTATTGCAAGAAACTTTCTGGAACTCGCTGACCTTTTGAAGGAAAAGGAGCTCTCAGATGGCAGAACCAGAAAGGGGTTTCTTTGTTAAGCTGTTTGCTCCGTGCTAGTCATTCATTCTTTTTTTTTGTGGAAAACAGACTGACACTGACATACACAAAAGCAAGCTGTGAGGAAGAGAAAAAAAGCTGCAGAAACAGATGACAACGACAGAAGAACAGAAGAAAAGAAAGACCTCTCTCGCTCAAGATCTATTCTGAATACCGTACTGTACATCTTATGTTTAGCTCCATGGACAGTTCCAACATCCAACTTATTTGTATCACACTGAAGTACTATACACAATGACAATTCAAAGTCATCGCTAACATACTTGTACAGTGTAGCTCACCATACCTCTTACACACTGCAGCATTTTATTGCTTGTTATTACCCAAAAAAGTGCATTGTCTAAACTCATTTCTGGCCACACCACAGTGCTTCTATAAATACACGATATCTCCCACGTGAGATGGACCCACTGTACTTCATGAGCCTCACCATGTGGTATCTATGGTAACCACTTACAGTAGGAGAAACTCAGCATGTGTGGTATGTGTGTGTGTGTGTGTGTGTGTGTGTGTGTGTGTGTGTGTGTGTGTGTGTGAGTGAGAGAGAGAGAGAGAGAGAGAGAGAGAGAGAGAGAGAGAGAGAGAGAGAGAGAGTGTATTTCCAGACTTTTAAGAGCTAAATGTGTTCACAAGAATAAAAAAGTGAGAAATTCTGGGCTATTGCTTCTGAAAGTGATTTGAAGTTCAGTCAGTCAGGATGTGTTTAGGGTTAGGGTTAGGTAGAAGCTCCAGAATTAGGGGTTAGAAAATAAATATTGGTGATAAAGGTTCCCACATAACTTACATGTATAGGTTAGTGGTTATATATTGTGTATGGTATTATGTCTATGGGTTAGTGGTTGGGTGAATGCAGTGTTTGTAAGTGACTCTGCATCTGTAAACTCATTGCTTAAGACCTAGATTAAACTTAGTGCTCTGAAAACTTAATATCCTTTCTCTCTTTCTCAACCCCCGTAGCCACACATCCACAACAGTGTACACAAACAGTAGTTCTTTAAAATCTCTACTCATAAGACATGATGTGCTGCACCACCTCCAGTGGATTCAGCGTCGGGAAAGATTTCCACTGCAGTTTCCATGGAGACCAAACCATATCATAGTAAGATAAAATAAATGTTGATTTTGAGAAAATAGTTGTCCTCACTGCCACAGTTGACCTTTTACCTGACTGCAGCCAAAGCTTCACAGCGAACTGTGCTGGACAACTGCCAACAGCCTGCAGTACAGAGAGAGAAAATAAAAGCAGTAAAAAAACAACCACAAAGTCAATTCAATAAACTTTATTGCCTCAAGGTTTGTATTGTTATTGAAATGTAAATGTTATGCATATAATAATTGATCTTTTCTGAACTGTCAATGCAACACTGGGGGCATAGCTTTTTGTAAATACATAGACACAAAATTCCCACATACCCAACGCAGAAACAAATATATAAATATTCACATTACATGAGTCTATTACATACATAAAGATGAAAAACAAATATGTTACCATTTCTATGGCAACTGATCCACTTTTCTGCAAGACTATTTGTCAAGAAAACTTTATTTTCTTATTGCCTCAGCTGACCTGTAAGCTACTGAAGAGAAAACAAAAAAAGGAGTACTTAAGCAGCATACATCTCTGCCAGAAGCCCAAGCAAAATACAAAGAAATAGGCAAGTTAACAAACAATGAAAATGTACTTCAGGTTTAGGACTTTCATTTCAACAGCTCATAGTTTTAATACAATCAAGTTTAGACTGGGTTAGAGATAGACGGTTAACAGGCACAGACTATAAGTACTGGTTGTGAAAGCATTGGTGTGAATGTGTGTATGAATTCATCACTTTAATTGTAACCATTCAATTTCTATTTCAGTTTGGGATGAAAAGCTTATTGACAGTTGTTCTCATGTTCTGAAACACTGTTGTGGTTCTCAACACATGTAGTGCAATCAACACATCAATTCATACAGTGCAGCAA